TGATCCTGATGATGTGGCACATTATGGAATCCCTTGGGCAGGACTTTCCCCACTCCAGTACTATAGCACTGACCCAAGGTACCCAAGGTACCCAAGGTCTGTATATATCTGACTTGCCTGATGGACTGAGTTCCTCAAGAACTGGGCCATGTCCTGTCAACTCTATTGTCTAAGCTGCCTGACTTGGTGCAGGAGCTCATTGAGGGCACGAGGCTGAGCCCGGCACCCACCTCTGCACCTTCACATTGCATTCCATGATTGCAGCACCCTCTTCTGAAGCCAGCAAGAGATAGCCTGAGGGGTTGAACTGGAGGTCCAGGGGAGGGTCATCGACTATACCCAGGTACTCCTGTGTGTGAAGAAAAGCTCCTCAAAGAAGCTGCTTTAAAGAAGGGACATTTTTAAAAGAATATTCCTGGCTTCCTCATCAACAGCTCCCTCAAAACCAGAGAGAAACGCTACGTTAGGTACCCCCACTGGGAAAAAAAAAAACCAGGGGCTGCCACCTATAACTATTCCTATGAGCCCCTAGCTAGCTGGGCTGTTCCTCTCTCTGTTAGAGGAAGGGTCACCACTCCAACCCTCCAAATGTCACTACACATACATTGATGTTCCGTAGAAAGTTGGCTGAGAAAAGGGAGAGCTGGATGTTCTCAGGCATCGAGAACTGTTGACGAATCCCTCCTACAGAAAGTCCTGTGGAGGCCTGTGAATACTGTGGAAAGGAAAAGACAAGTCAAGGTAGACCAGTATTCTGTTACATGTTAACAGAATACTGTAATAGTAGTTGTGAGTTATACAACTTAAATGAAAGAAGGGTCCTACTCATAAGGAGTTTATAAACTAAGAGGAGTTGAGGTTGACAACCCATATGCAAGTCAACCAGCAGCCTGAAGAGAACAAATAATTTATCAAAATCCTTATTAGCAGTTGTGCAGAGCAGAGAAGGTCAATTATCTAAAAAGGGTTAGGCATGGTGGTACAAAACTATAATGGCCTGGAAGTCCAAAGGCAGGAGTTTAACATTTAATCTACCAGTTGCAAAACAGAAGGACATGACCAAAGTAGCAAAACTGATGGCTAGCTGGCAGTAACAAATTAGAATGAAAGTGTACAAACCTCAGAAGTAAAGAACCTAAGAGAGGGAGATTAGGATAGGTCTTTGCATTAATTATAGTTTCAACAAAGGCCCTCTTGGCCAGGTTTGTGAAATCTCAAAGGTCCAACATTGTGAAATCTGCTTTTACAAAATACCAGTTTACTGCCAAGGCTCTTGCTTTGAGGGAGGAATAATGTGGGACTATTTCTCAACAAGGTCCAAAACAAGGTTCCTGCCCTTTGGATTCTTCAAGACTGAGGCCCTTCCTTGTCCCCCCTCCCCTCATCCCTAGAGTTTTTAATAAAATAAGACTTCCTTCTTGCCCCACTCATGCCTCTGTCCCATCCCAGACCTCACCGTGTGGTCCCGTTCCACCACCAGCACCCGAATGGCACCTTGCTTCTTCTCCAACCTCTTCAGCCAATAGGCCACAGACAGGCCAAGCACCCCACCTCCCACAATCACTACATCCGCGTGTTCAGGGGGCAGGTGGCTGGTGTCATACAGTGGATCCCAGGCCCCTCCAGGCAGGATTGACTGAATCTTCTTCTTAATCTCAGACACCTTTCCATCCCAATCTGTGGAAAGTAGTTATGGTCAAAGAGGCCACACACATCCTTTCCCTGTGGCAGGGAGATGGGAGATGGAGGATGGGCACAGAGAAAGGTGGGCTAGAGAGAGACTGAGCTGGCGGTTCCCATTGTCATCCTCCTCTCACACCTTTGCTGTATGGTCTATGCCATCAGTCTCTCTTCCTTTTCACACCTCCTGCTCAGCATGCAAGACTCAACTTTCTAAAATTAATACTCCATACTCTCTCTCTAGGTTAGGGGAGTCACACATATTTATCTCCTGTGCAGTCCTCTCTCTCCTGAGCTCCAGATATGTATCTTCAACTGACTTGTTGTCTCAACCTGGATGAACCAGGCCGCTGGACTAGAAGCCCTGCTATGCCCCAAGCTGCACCACCCTCTGAAGCACGGCCCTTCTGAGGGTAGCACCTTAGCCTGATACCCATCACTACCAACAGTCCTACATTCATGTTCTGTCTATTATCAAGTCCTGAATACTTTATCTCCTATTTGTGATTGCCTCAATCTGCCCCTTTTTCCATCTTTGCTTTCACCATCCTAGACCAAGCCACTCTAACCTCACCTGGCCTCACATGAAAAAGCATCCTTCCTCTTTCCTACCCTACCTGTGTTCCCAATCTCTCTCCTAACCTCACAACTAGAATGAGCTTTTCTAAACAATGATTTGACCACATACCTCCTGGCTTAAAACCTTCCAATGGCATTCTATTACTTAAAAGTTCAAAAGCTTTGACACTGCAGTCTGGCTCCTGTCCTTTTGCATTGGGCTGTTTCATTTGGGTCCTTGATGGTACCTTACTTCTACCAGAGAAGCTGCATATGTTCTTTCTGCTGGCAAACTGTTCACTCCTTTGCCTAGTTAGTGGCTTGCTTCCTTCAGATTTCAGCTCAGTTATCACTTCCTTAGAGAAGCTCTTCCTGACCCCTAGACTGTGTCAAATTCTCCCATCACACTTTCAGTTTCATAGTTCTGTGAATTGTCCTTTACAGCATGTGACATGTTTGCAACTTTGTCATTTTTATTTGTGATTGCCTCACACTGCCAAGAGGGTAGGGAATACATCTACTTTATTCACCACTGAAAATCTCCTGCCTAACTATAATATCTGGCACATCACATGTGCTCATTACCAAACCAAAACCAAACCAGTTGCCATGTACTCGATTTCAACTCATGGTGACCCCATGTAAATCAGAGCAGAACTGTACCCCGCAGGGTTTTCAATCACTGATTTTTTGGAAATAGATCACCAGCCTTTTGTGGTGTGATGGATCACTTTTATATGGCTTTTCTAGCCATGGTCTTCTAACTTCCACCAAAAGATTGGGTGGGTCTATGCAAACAAGGTGTGTGGCATTCTTTTGGGGAGTGAGACTATGCAAATAAGTTGTATGGAACCCTAATGAGGGAATTGGTCAGTTCTGCCATCCTGCCAGGCTTAAAATGAGCCATCCCAGAGGCAGAAAGGGGACCTCATGACTCTAAGAAAGAAAAGCCAGGAGTGGAGTGTGTCCTTTGGATCTAGGATCCCTGTATTGAGAACCTCTTAGACCCAGGAGACAGAGAGAGAGCTGTAACATTAGGGATGGTGAAATGCAGCAGTAGCAGAGCCAGGAGACTGGTAGGAGACTGGCTTCCTGACCTACAAAATGAGAAAGCTTAGTACCTTTGGGCAGAAGGCATGCAGGCGGAGTGGGGGTACCTCTGAGCAGTTACTGGTGCAACTAAAGAGCTTTGTAACACCTGCTTGAACAGGGCAGAGGCTGAGAGGCTGAGGGTCACAAAGAATTGTACCCTGAATGGTTTCTGATCCTGGATTGTACCCTGTTATTTCCCTAATAAATCTCATAATCATGAATATGCCCTGAGTTTCATGTGGCCATTGCAATAAATTATCGAATCCAGCAGAGAAGTAGAGTACTGTGGGAGGGACAGTTGGTGTCAGAATTTGTAAAAAGGTTGGCAAGAGGAGGTATGTCTGACCTCTGCCTCAAAGGAATCACCCTTGGGCTGTTGATGCTGATAATAATTCTCCTTCCCCCTTGTGAAGTTAGAAGAGGTCAGATACCCTTGCCATTTTTACCTTTCTTCTGAGGTGCCTGTGGGTGGATTCAAACCACCAACCCGCTGGTCAGCAGCCAAGCCTGTTAACCATTTTAACACCTTGGGACTCCACAAGTGTCTTGAATAAGTGTCCTTTTGCAAGTCATACCTAACTCAAGAATCCCCAAGACTTCTCACTATTTTCAATATAACATCCAAACTCTTCTCAACAGCATTCAACTCCTTCTACACGGCCTTACTTTCCCTGTCCAAAGTACTTGTCATACTACTACTGAAACTCTCTGCTATGTAAGTGGTTTTTGCTAGTTCCTTGCAAAAGAACAATACTTTCCTCCTCTTACCCTTTGCTCAGTTCTCCATAGCCTGGAACATACACCCTACTCAAATGAATAAACATTATTTTTAGGGTTGGTCTCAGTTCCTACTTGCTCCATATGCTTCTACAATTATACTAGCTTCAGGGCCTAGCAGTGCAAGGCTTTCTTGAATTGGGTTCTATCTAGCCCTGAACTGGTCTATCATCTATTGAAGTCTTCCATCACCAGCTACTCTCCAGGCACATATTGACACATATTGACTCTTCTTCCTTCCTTCATGGTCACAGCACTAAGCATAGCACTCTGCACGCGAGCACATCTAATGCACATCTTGTAACCAATATATCAGCCTGGCTCCTTGTTATTCTGTGGTAAACTGAGGCACAAAATGATTTGGGATTTGTCACCTGAGAAGGGCTGCATAGGGATCCACACACCTTCCCAGACCCTACATGGCTCTGGTAGTCTGATTCTCACCCTCCTCTCCCAGCTGACCCTGTCTTCCCATCGTGGGCCAGTCTTGAAGGTCCTAGTGGGAGAGGCACCCAGAGCCACGCTATCCCCTGCTGCTCTCTACTTTACCCAGAGTGGAGCCTCCTCTGCGTGTGCCAAACCTTCGGGCCACAAAGCCCCGGCACAGGCCAAGCTGCAGCGCCCTTCGGAGCATGGCACCTGCGAGTGGTACCTCTGCGTGCTGCACCCAGCTCCCAAGACCCGTCACCAAGCTGCGGTCATTGACCCGCGCCACAGGTGGTCCAAGATAGTGCGCTCATTGGGCAGAGGCCGCTACGTTCCGGTTTGTTTCCTCCGGGTTTCCCCACCCCCCAACTCCACACTTATAGGTCTCCGTATTCGCGTGGACTTGCTTGTCGCCTTCTGTCCATGCCCGATCCCCAACAACCATTGGCTAGCTTCGGGTGTACGTAAGCCTTCCGCGACCTCGAGTGGGTGGGGAGGGCGATTCTGAGCGGAAGTGCGGCCGAGCTCGTTTCCGGGGCCGCTGGTGTGACGTGTCCCGCGCTTGGCGCAGCAGGAAGCGGCGGGGACCGTGGCCTGAGTTCCCAGCGGCGGCCCTAGCTCCTCTCCTGCTGCCGCCATGCTCGACTTCTTCACCATTTTCTCCAAAGGTGGCCTTGTGCTCTGGTGCTTCCAGGGCGTGAGCGATTCATGCACCGGGCCCGTTAACGCGCTGATTCGTTCCGTGCTGCTTCAGGTACCGCCCCCGCGGGATCAGAACTCCGTGATCTCCCTCCCAGACCCCCTGTCTATCGTCCCCGTCGACCGAGCCCGCGCCTTACTCCCACCTTCTCCACCCACCTCGTATTGGCCACTCACCGATAACTGCGACTCCATCCACTTCTTTCTCTTGTCTCCTTCAGACCACCCCCAACATCGGGACGCCCACCCACTTAGGTTTTTGGAATCCCAGCCGCATTCCTGCTCCTCTTAGAACCTCTGCTTATGTCATTCACCCCTCTTCGTCTTGCCAGAAGCTCGGCTTTCTGTTGTTTCGAAGGCTGAGTGATGATAGATGGGGGAACAAAGTGTAAATAGTGTACAGCTGCTAGTAGATCTGTTTATAAGAGGACTTCTTCCCTTTCGGCTCCCACGTGTCTGTACTTCCCTTTCACCTTCTCCTCATCTCTCTCTAACTTGGTATCTCGTTTTCTCCCTGGGGGAATGCTAAAGAGACGTGCCTCAGCACCTCCCTTTCCAGGGGACCGGTTTGACTTTGGGAGAAGTGTCTGTTTTTCCCCCGAGGTACCTCCCGGATGGGGTGTTGAGTCTGGGTTTTCTGGGTTAGTTTGAACTCTGGGACATAATCTTTTTCCAGGAACGGGGAGGTAACAACTCCTTCACCCATGAGGCACTCACACTCAAGTATAAACTGGACAACCAGTTTGAACTGGTGTTTGTGGTAAGTGGGGATATTTTAGAGGGATAGTGATTATATTCTCAACATATTCCTGATTAAAAGAATCCCAATTAGTTGTATCCAGGAAATATGGTGAAGTAACTGAGAAAACTAAGAAGATGGGGGTGGGGGAGAAGCTCTTAGGCCCAGTCAGAGAGCTTGGCTGGTCCTCAAGTCAGGGAAACCTGCCAGGTGGCTGAGACATTTCTGGAGGCTTGGGTTGAGTTGGCTTCCCTCCTTCCCGGCTGGTGTGTAAGCAGATCTGTTGGCTCTGTTTCTTCCCCTGAACAGGTTGGTTTCCAGAAGATCCTAACACTGACCTATGTAGACAAATTGATAGATGATGTGCACCGGCTGTTTCGGGACAAGTACCGCACGGAGATCCAACAGCAGAGTGCTTTAAGTCTATTGAATGGCACCTTTGATTTCCAGAATGACTTCCTGCGCCTCCTTCGGTGAGAGGTCTCCCCTCTCCAAAGGGTTGTAAATTGTGTACTGAAAGACACTCTCCTAAATATGCTGGGGTCATGCACGGGTTAGAAAAACCAGCCATTCTCTTTTCTCTTCAGTGAAGCAGAAGAGAGCAGTAAGATCCGTGTTCCCACTACCATGAAGAAATTTGAAGATTCTGAAAAGGCTAAGAAACCTGTGAGGTCCATGATTGAGACACGTGGGGAAAAGCCCAAAGAAAAATCAAAGAACAACAAAAAAAAAGGGGGTAAGAAGGAAGGTAGGTTTGGGTTCCTTGGACATATTGGGGATTGAAAAACACTAATGTATTACTAAGGACTGAGATGGTCCCTGTCCTTTTATTATTACTTGCTCCCTACTCTTAGTCACATGGCCACAACACTTACCATCCCTAGTCATTGTGATCCCCAAGATGTTTGCTCCAAGTTTCCTCTTAAGGATGTGGAATAATTTTTTTCATTGTCTATTTTGTTGGGATTTGGCCTTTTTTCTCCAGTGAGTTTCTCCTAACAGGTTCTGATGGCAGCCCTTTGGCTCCCAGCAAAGCAGTCTCTGCAGAAAAGTCAGGTTTCCCAGTGGGGCCTGAGAATGGGGTAGAGCTTTCCAAAGAGGAGCTGGTACGCAGGAAGCGAGAGGAATTCATGCAGAAGCATGGGAGGGGTATGGAGAAGTCCAGGTGAGCATTCTTAACTTTCTCTCCTACCCTGTTACACACTTACTAGCCATGTGGGGGCAAGAAAGCTGTTGTCTCTGGCTTATGAATAGATTTTATACTTTCACCATAACCCTTTGCACCATAACCCTTTGCAGTAAGTCCATGAAGACAGACGCTACAAAGGAGAAGGGCAAAAAGGCACCCCGGGTGTGGGCATTGGGTGGCGGTGCTAACAAGGAAGTCTTGGATTATAGTACTCCCACCACCAATGGAACTCCTGAGGTTGCTCTGCCTGAGGACATCAACTTGGTAAGCAGCAATAGGGGGAAGAGAGAGGGTTGTTATTAATAAGAAACTGAGGAACTAGAGAATAGTGGGGCAAGAACTTAGAGAATAGTGGGGCAATACCTGAGGAATCCTAGTGGTGCAATGACTGCTAACTGAAAGATTGGTGGTTTGAGCCCACCCAATGACTTGATGGGAGAAAGACCTGGTGATCTGCTCCTGTAAAAACTACAGCCAGGAAAACCCTATGGGGCAATTTTGCTCCTTTGCATGAAATCCGTTTGAGTTGGAATTGACTCAACAGCACCTAAGAACAGTGTAGTAGGTGGATTGGAATGAGGGGGTGAGTTACATTGGGAGCTTCTCCAAATCAGAGAGCCAGAGCAATGTGGTAGGGTAAATCTTTGGCTTTTTGTCCTCAGGCATCTTAGTGTCCCTGACCCCATCTACTTCCTTTCCCAACATCCTCCAGATTCGAGGGACTGGGCCTGGGGGGCAGCTTCAGGATCTGGACTGCAGCAGCTCAGATGATGAAGGGGCCTCTCAAAGCACCACCAAACCTAGGTAGGGGCATTTCAAGTGGGGGATGATATGTATGCAGCAGAAGTGATGAGATTTTACCCACTGGTTTTGCGTGTATTCATGATTGCTTGTGCCTGCAGTGCTACAAAGGGAACTTTGGGTGGCATGTTTGGAATGCTGAAGGGCCTTGTGGGTTCCAAGAGCTTGAGTCGTGAAGACATGGAATCTGTTCTGGATAAGATGCGTGATCATCTCATTGGTAAGTCTGGAAGAATGGGTGCTGAGTCATGTTTATGGGGTAGGGATAGTTTGGGAGTAGAACTACTGAGTTTCTGAGCTGTATCCTAATGATTGTTCACTTTTGGCATGGCATTCATATAACGTCTGTTCCCCTTTCTGTCCTCAGCTAAGAATGTAGCGGCAGACATTGCGGTCCAGCTCTGTGAATCTGTTGCCAACAAGCTAGAAGGGAAGGTGATGGGGACATTTAGTAGTAAGTATCTCCCTAAAGTGCACAGTACTTGGGATTGTGCATACTGAGAGGAGCATAGGCCTCCATTCTTAAAAGATGTCTGACCATTACATAATCTAGTATTGCTGGGAGGATTAAATGAGTTAACGCTTGTGTAAAGTGCCAAGAACAGTACCAGGCATAGTCTGCATTCCAGACACAAAATCCTAGTTACCATCTAGTTCCCTCAGTTCAAAAAGGTGTGGGCCATTCTTGGAGGCCCTTCCTTGGGATTCATGGGTGTCCCTTCCCCTAGCGGTGACTTCTACAGTAAAGCAAGCTCTACAGGAGTCGCTGGTGCAGATTTTGCAGCCACAGCGCCGTGTGGACATGCTTCGGGACATTATGGATGCCCAGCGTCGCCAGCGCCCATATGTTGTCACCTTCTGTGGTGTTAATGGAGTGGGGAAGTCTACTAATCTTGCCAAGGTAGGTGCAGGTAGGTCCCCAGCCTGCCTCTGACATTACTTCTTCATGCTCCATGTCTTAGCAACCATGGTTCTAGGTGACATTTTTCTCTATCTGTTTTGCACAGATTTCCTTTTGGTTGTTAGAGAATGGCTTCAGTGTCCTCATTGCTGCCTGCGACACATTTCGTGCTGGGGCTGTGGAACAACTTCGCACACATACCCGGCGCTTGAGTGCCCTACACCCACCAGAGAATCACAGTGGCCGTACTATGGTGCAGTTGTTTGAAAAGGGCTATGGCAAGGATGCTGCCGGCATTGCCATGGAAGCTATTGCCTTTGGTACAGTGCACTGGAGACAGGAAGGCGTGGGGGCGTGTCTGGGCCCCTTTTCTGCCTTGGGTTCCTTTGACGTTTGCAGAGGATCAGGGTTACCATATCTTAATGTTAAATAACAGAAAGTTTTGGCATACTCTGCTTTTGGGTAATATGTGTTCCAGGCAAAATTCATACAGTCCAACCAAAGAAAACTGAATTTGGTGACTCTGTTTCCATCCTTTTCCTCAGTGTGCTTAGAGATGAGGTCCCCACCATTACCTTGTAACCAAATTCAGAGCCCAAGAAAATAAACAAGGATTTTTAATATAGCCAGGCTAGGAAGTTAGAATTGAGCACAAGTGATAGTCCCAGTGTTGAGTTGACCACTTTTTTTCTCTCTAGCACGTAACCAAGGCTTTGATGTGGTGCTGGTGGACACAGCTGGCCGCATGCAAGACAATGCCCCACTGATGACTGCCCTGGCCAAACTCATTACTGTCAATACACCTGACTTGGTGCTGTTTGTGGGGGAGGCCTTAGTAGGCAACGAGGCCGTGGATCAGCTGGTGAGGGCTAGAGCCTAGTACCCTTTCCAACCTCAGCTATGGCCAGTTAGGTGGTTCTAATACCACCTTTCTTTTTTCCAGGTCAAGTTCAACAGAGCCTTGGCTGACCATTCTATGGCTCAAACACCTCGGCTCATTGATGGCATTGTCCTTACCAAATTTGATACCATTGATGACAAGGTAAATATGGATAAAGGACTCAGGACAGAGCGAACATGGTGGGGGTGGATGAAGGGAATGCCAGTGCATTCATACGGGAGTTGTTTTAGTTCCAAAACCCTCTGGTACTGTGGGAGTGGGTGAAAAGAAGCAAGCTAAGTTGATTGGGTGTCCCCTTTCTGCACTTCAGGTGGGAGCTGCTATTTCTATGACGTACATCACAAGCAAACCCATTGTCTTTGTGGGTACTGGCCAGACCTACTGTGACCTACGCAGTCTCAACGCCAAGGCTGTAGTGGCTGCCCTCATGAAGGCTTAATGTGGCTCTTGCCGAATACCAAATTGCCGCTTCCCCCAACCCCTCCAGACCCCAATTCCTGTATCAAGAATGTGCTTTAGAGTATATAAGCAACTTGTCTTCAGAGTAGTAAAAAGGCAGAGTGAGGGGAGCTCCAGGGGATTGTAGCTCTTTGTGACCCCAGTCCCTGTCCAGCCTCCATCTGCTAGGATGGAGGGCCTAATCATGTTACAATCACTGCCCACTGACACCCACCCCCCATGGTACTCCCACCCTCCTCCTCAGGCCTTCTACTGGAGGCCTTCACTCTGCCTCCAGACTCAGTGTCTTTATAGCTTTGACCAATGGTTGGCAGACCCAACACCAGAGCTCTGCAATGTTGATATTCAAGAGACTCCTTGTGAGTCAGCTCTAGGTCTTGATAGGACATAGCTTTCAGGTCCCTGGGGCCAGGATGGCACCCACCTCACTGTGGCAGTATAAAGCCTGTTCTTAATTGCTGCTAATTCTGATGACTCCCACTCCAGTTCCCCAAAGCATCAACTAGGCCAGGTGATGTGTTACAACTGAGGGAAAGATGAGCCCCTGCTTCCCTTAGAAATAAAGGGAGCCAAGCTTCAGTGTTGCATTGGGCTTCTCAGCTCCACTCTTCCCCAACTCCTAGAATCTAGTAAGCTTTGCATGTTCCCCATCCTGGGAGAAAACTGTCAGAAAGGTATCCGTTGCCCCACCTCCCTGCTCCATTCATTCACCTGAGCAGATCCTGGCCTTATCTCATTCTTCCTCTACAGTGCCTGGTAGACAAGTGCTATGTTGAAGAATACAAACCTCTTGTTAAGATTTTGTCTTGTAGCTTGGTATTACAGATGTGCTATTAGTGCAATAAGGTGAAGGCTGTCTGCCCAGAGAAATACATAATTTATATAAGAAAATAAATTTCATAAATAAATCACTTTTTAGGTCTCGGAGTTATTTTACATAGGATTCAAAACTAAAATCCTACATCATATAACCTGTTCTATGGTTTGTGTAAGTAGGGAAATGGTGAAAACTGGTAACGCTCCTAAAAGAAAAGTAAGTAAAGAGCTGTCCTGAAAATGAGATCACCCACCACAAGATGAAACAAAAATCAGGCTTGTTAGTACCCTGACGCAGGTGAAAGTTTTTTTAAAAGTAAAGTCAGGGCCCTGGAAAGTAAATGAACAGGCTTTTAATACAGCTGGGTTATGTAAAATACTGTACACTGTAAAAGATCTAGAAAACTAGAACTTCAAGTCATGTTTTAAAAAAGCCATTAAGCTTAATTGAAAAAACCCAAGTATGGAGTACAAAACTGCAACAAGGGCCACGGTGTCTCCATGGCATCTAGATCCCCAAGTCCATGCAGAGCTGCAGCCACAATTAGTGGAAGATCACATCGGTTGGCTGTGTGGACATAAGCATGTCCAGCCTGGGAGGGCCTGATGTTTGGGTCCTGTAGTCTCAGGTGTTCTTGAACTGGAACAGGCAGCACAGTAGCAACCAGCCAGCAAGTTGGATTAAGTTGGATCATTTACCCTCCATTCTACGCCCAACCTTCAACCTCTGGGTTTTGTTACTTTCTGGGTGGGTTCTTCTAAGTTTACTTGTTAAACACTCCATGGCCTCAAAGCTTGGTCCAATAGTGATTTCTGTAGCCCTCTCATGTACTATTGCCTGTGGAAGAAGAGAAAAGGTGCAACATGAAAGGGAATTTCAAAAACAAATTTATACAGCTAATGCAGATATTTAAAATTTAACATTTTATTAGTCAAGTCATAAGATACACTAGGAATTTCATAATAAACTTGATAGAGAAATAAGAATCCTTAATAGAATAGAGTTAAGTAGGAAAGGTAAGTCATTATTCCCCATAGTTGTAACTAAGCTCTAGAAAGATACTTTCTGCTGATAAGTAGAACAGGTAATGGTATACCTTGTATTTCACTGTGCGCTGCAGATGAACCATTTAGCTGACCCTCTCTCACCATCCCTGCTAATAAATAAGAGTACACATCAGTATCAAACATTAAACTGCTAAGCTAAAAACATTAACAGCAAAAACAACCAATTAAAGTGAGATGAAGGCACATGGTATGACTAGAAAGGATGGTATTTACAAGTGAAAACCATTCTAGAAGGAGAGAGAAAAGAGGTGGGGAGAGTAAAGTGGATTAGTCTTCAGAGTGTTGTGATTAACGGGGAAACAGGTTTCTTAGTACATAAGATTACCTGTAAGCAAAACTATTTTACGTAGGTCAAGTGTGTCTGCTGTCTCTAACTAGTCTCTTCAAAGGCCAAGTTTAGGTGAAACTGCTCAAATGATCAAATTCAACCAAGTTGAAGAGGGAAAAGTAGCAGATATTCCCACAATACAAAATAGATTAGATCTGTCCTATCCAATATGGTACCATTAGCCACATGTGGCTATTTAGTTTTAAATAATAATTCTACACCTCGGTTGCACTAGGCACACTTTAAGTGCTCAACCGCCATACATAGCTTTTAGCTACGGAACTGCAGAGTGAAGATTGTAGAATACTATCATTACAGAAGATTCTCTTGGACAGCACTGGGATAGATAATGGTATAGGAGAATATATAGATGAACATATAGAACAAAAGAGTAATAAAAGATTTGACCAATATAAATAAAAGATTCACATTCACACATATAAATTGGTGATGGTTACAAATTAGGATTTCCCTCTGAGAAAGTAATTTAGCAGTAAGTATCAACCATAAAAATGTTCGTGACCTATGACCTACTATTTATACTGAGAACTCTTAAATTACCTGGCAAAAGTAAAAACCATAGGGATAAGAATCTACTCACTGCAATGTTACAATAGAAAAAGATGGAAAACAAAACCAGAAAACTGCTAACAGGAATAATAGAGAAATTTTAAAATCCACATGAATATAACTAAAAACAGTGGTTATGAATCAGACTGCAGCCATGTGGAAAAACGTATGATATACTACTGAATAAAAGAAAACAATGAAAACTATGTATACTTTGTTCACAACTAAGAAAAAACACAGGAAAAAATACTAATTAGAAATATACCAAAATAACACTCTAGTATGGATGTAAGAGAATTACTTTTCTATTCCCCATTACATAACTGCTTGTAGTATGGACATAAGAGCCCCATTACTTAATTTTTCTGAAAAATACATACTAGATTCTATAGAATATTTTGAAGCCAATAATTTTCACTATGCAAAAAGTAAATACAAAACACAATGCTAGTTATGTAGATACCTCATGCTCACTGTTAAAATAATAGCAAAAGACCTCTTACCAGTAACAGTGTATATATCTATATCTATATATATTTATAAGGAGCTCTGGTAGCAAAGTGCCTAAAGCACTTTACTGCTAACCAGAAGGCTGGCGGTTCAAACCCACCAGCTACTCCTCGAAGAAGGTTGGGCAATCTACTTCTGTAGTGATACTGCCTCGGAAACCCAAGGAGGTGTCACTTAGTTGGGGCCGATTCGATGGCACATAACAACAAACAACAACAACAAATATATCTACAGAGACTCAAGGTATAACCAGGGATGATAAATTTGTATAATCTCAAAATGCAGAAATATTTTTTAACCTTAACTGCATGGCTAGAATTAAACTACAAACTCAGTTGACTATTCTAGTAAAGATGCTTGGTCATATTGAAAATCCTTGATTTTTATAAATTCAGAACACTCTAATGACAGCTCATAATTCTGGGGAAGACCACTCTAGTAGGCAGCCTACGACAGCTAATGACAATTTCTGGCGCTCCATAATACTTCTGATTTTTTTTTTTTTTTGGTCAAGAAAAGTTGTAGTGTAACAGGCACAGCTGCCCAGAAGGATTTTATTGTTTAAATTTTTAGCATCTTTTATGAGTAGAAAATCTCAATACAGATTGAGAGAAATGTAGAACTTTTAACAAAAACAGAATATGCTCAATAGAAAAGCCTACTTGTGGACAAACAACAGAATCTGAAACACTGCACGACAGCAAAAAGCTTATTCCCAAGAAAGAATACTAAATAGTTTTCACTAAATAGATAAACTGAAAAGTTTGTCTTTCTAAGGGTTTTGTAAAATTTTCCTAAGAAAATGTAATGTGTAGCTAATTGCCTCCATGAACCACTGCCCCTTTGCCATGTGACCAGGAAAACTCAATGGTGCCCAGCTACCATTACTTAACATTTTGATCAAAGATTTTATAGAAGAATCCTGATCTAAAGGGGGAAAATGCAGAACAAAATTTCAATTTCTCAAGGAATCCAGATTTCTGGATCTATGGAGGCTGAATGAACCCCATCACTACTGCCCTGAGGTAATCTTTAAATCTTAATCCAAAAGTATCCCTTGAAGTCTTAAAACTGCACAACAGCTTAATTAGTAAAGAGTGCCTACCTTGAGCTGTGCGCTTTTTTAAGATCTATCTATGTGGGATCAGACAGACAGCAACTGAAAGACTAGATAGGAACCTTAGGGGGCAATGAGTTTATGTTAATAGGGGAGGAACAACTCAGAAAAGGAAGTTGAGAATGGTTCCACAACTCAAAGAATGTAATCAATGTCACTAAATTGTACATGTAAAAATTGCTGAATTGGTATGTGTTCTGCTGTGTACAGTCTCAACAATGACAAAAATAATTAAAAAAAAAACTTCCAGTGAAAAGGTAGCCATAGTTTTCAGTGTTAGTAATGGTGATGCCTCTTAAAAGTCTTTTTCCACATCAAAGTATAAACCCACTACCATTGAGTTCATTTCAACTCACAGCAACCTTTTAGGACAGAAACTGTCCCATAAAGTTTCCAAGGCTATAAATATTTATGGAAACAGATTGCCTTATCTTTCTTCTATGGAGTGGCTGATAGGTTTAAACCACGGGCGTCCTGGTTAACATCCAAATGCTTTAACCACTTTGCCACCAAAGCACCTATCAAAGTATAGCCATGAGTAATAAGCCATTATGGAGTTTTCCATTACAAAATAATTTCACCTGAAGGAATCTGATTCAGAAAAGAAATCTGGAATGATTATTAGATTTCAGAAAAGGTCTTTATGTTCTTAAAAAATACCTGTACTTTATGGGTCTCTCCTTGTCAAGAGCAAAGAAGAAAGAAGAAAACCAAAATTAATGGAAACAATCAGTCCTAGTGACTGGTACACCATCCGATATGCAACCTATACAATTATGAGACCAGAAGAACTAGATGGTGCCTGGCTACCACTGTCATCCACTTGGAAGGGATGTGTGGGAGATCCTGGATAGAGAGGGAGAACAATGTGGAACAAAACTCAAAATCATTTGGGGAAAAAAAATCATTTGGAGGAAAAAAAAAAAAAAGAAGGGGGGGACCAGATTTGCTGGTCCAACAGAGCCTGGTGGAACCACTGAGACTATGGCCCCTGGCTGCCCTTCAGGTCTGGAATTGAACCCACACCTGTGGTTTCCAGCCAAACAAAGTACAGGCATGTGAGTTAAACATTTACCTCAAGTAGACACATGCCCTGGAGAGAACAATCATGGGAGAAGGAAGGGCTGCTTATGCACAGGGAGATAGCTCAGGGTGCAGAAGAGTATGGAGGGACGGCCACTGGGAAGAGGTAACTATGGGGAGGAAGTGGGAGGGGAGCTGTTGCATTGTAAATTTTGGTCAATGACATGAGACAAAGTATATGTGAACTGCTGTATGAAAAGTGAATTTACTCTGTAAATCTTCACCCAAATCAAAATAAAATTAAAAAAAAAAGCAGCAGCTTTGGGAATGCTCTCGAGCTTATGGCATGCTCGAACCCTGTATGAGCCAAGTCATTGCTCAACAGCCCTGCTGATCTTGGGAACTTCAGTGGACTTGAATCAATAGCCTTCCAGTCATTTGGTAACTTTGGGACTGTGCCTTTTTACTTGCCAACCTTGGGCTTGTCAGCCTCAGTAGCCTGCAGCTGTCTGAGTTAAGAAAAGCCTCTAGCTTCAGGGGGCTGGGAGCAGGAGGCAGAGCTGAAGTCCAAGGTTGGGGTGCTTTCACCCAGCCCCTAGGACCTGGACTTAAAGCCTCCAAACTGTACGAGAATAAACTCCTGTTTGTTAAAGCCAAAAAAAAAAAAAAAATCAACTCCAAGTCTAAATTCCATCCTTGGGCAAAATTCCTCTTCCCCTGTGAACCTGTGCAATCTGGAATACAAGTTATCTGTTTCCAGAGTACAATGGTGGAACAGGAACAAGACAGATATTTCTAATCCAAATTGGAGAAATTTGAAGGAAGGAATAGATAACAGGCAACAAGTAAGTGAATAATGCAGCAGAACAATTTACTTTAGTTCTCAAGCCTAGACAGCTGGCGGTTCAAACCCACCAGCCACTCCTCGGAAGGAAGGTTGGGCAATCCTACTTCTGTAGTGATATTGCCTTGGAAACCCAAGGAGGGGTCGCTATGACTCGGGTTTGACTCGACGGCACATAACAACAACATTCTTTGAGACCATCTAGGCAGTGGCTCTGGTGGTGTAGTGTTTGAGTCATTTGACTGCTAACCAGAAGGATGGCGGTTCAAAGCCACCACCCATTCCTCGGAAGAAAGATTGAGCCATCTACTTGCACAGTGATACTTCCTTGGAAACCTAAGGAGGGGTCGCCAGGAGTCAGATCCAACTTGACGGCAGTGAGTCTTTTTTTTTTTTTTAGGCAGTGGTTCTACCTTCCAGATTCTGGGTGGAGGCCCCTTAGCCCTGGGCTTCCGTTCCACCTTCCAGGTCCATTGGGAGGACAAATTTGCTCCCTTTGCTTTGGGTGGCCCCAATCTCCTAGTACATCTGAGTGGTGATTCCACCTCCTTGGCCCTTTGGGCATGGCATCCCCGCCTCCTCAGCTTTGGGCAGCAGACACCCTTTGAGACCCTAGAAGTTGAGGCCCTACCCTTTGAGACTAAGGTAGCTCTGCTTTCCTGTTCCTGGGCCTCTTGGGCTGGCTCAGCTTCTGCCC